AGGGAGACCGGAATGGCCATTTCTGGCTTGTTAGCCGTCATCAGCCAGACATTAATTCAACTGGTCCTTTTCGGACACTGACAGCTAGGAGCATCTAGGACAAATAATATTAATAACGGCGCAAGATGAACTGCATTAGCCTCATATATTTTGCCAAATATTAATCATACGTGAGATATTTATGTTTAAATCAGAAAGATCAATTTTCTTCTCAGTCTTGTGTTATGGAACGGTGCTGAGTGTTTGACGACTCCAACAGGCTTCCTATTCCGTAAAGAGGTTTTCAGAAACCAAAGAGGTATGGGCCCACTTCTTTAAATAACTACAGTTCAGCTCGTCAGGTTAGTTAATCGCAAAAACAGTAGTCTAGTCAATCTTTCTTGTACTACTGCTGTTTCTGAGGATGGGTTCGAGAGGGAATCCGAAACGTTAGGCAAATAAATTTCTTGTCCCTGCGACCGTGTCTACATTCCCCAAAAATAATTTCTCTGAAAAAACCGATCCCGTGTCATATAGTCAAACCATGCTTGTCCGATTATACAGGAAGCCTGGCGCAAGCTAATTCCCATCCTCATAAGAGAATATTTCAGGTATTTTCCTGCACGACTTTGACCTCCACGAAATGACTGAATCGCTGTATCGTCACATTTATTGGTATCGAGGCCTGGTCAATGAGTCGTAAGCGTTACTCGACATGGTCGGGCTAATTTCTGATGTAGCCGATAACTGCAAGGGCAGGATGCAAATTATCAAGTATGTAACCATCAACCAAACATCTAACGAAAGGGGATGCGTCATAGTTATTTGAATTTTGTAGCTGAATGCTTCCCCGTCTGAACAAGTCATTTTCCTTCTTGCCTGAAATTGATCTTTTTTACTCCAACTCTCTCGGGCTCTGAGATGTTGCTTAGGAGACTTATCTCCAGTCTATTAAAATCGCTACATTATTTTCGCATTCAGCGAAAAAAAATTAGCCCCACCCCTCTCGCATAAAATCTAGGCCTAAAAACAACAAGGACTTATAGCAAGCCCGTACGCCGGCTTAGAGTTACAGTGTCTCTGACTATTCTCCGCGTAAGTCTTGCTTAACCTTAAATATCTGCGAAGGTTATATTACCACAATGGCAGTCCGCAGGCCAAAAATGCAGCAGTCACATGCGCCGTCGCCCAAACAGCGCAAAGCTTTGAGGACATGATGGGCTGGCCAATGGGATCACGAGAAATGCATCTGGATAGCCATTCAACCTTTTAATTGGTTCTTAGTGCACAGGGAGAAATGCAGAGATAACCTGGCCGGATCGATCAGCTGCCATCACAGGTGGGTTTGGGGAATTGACTGCCAGTGTTGGCTGTTAAGCGATGCTGCATTCACCTCAAGCAAGGCAACAGTCATAGAACATATGAGTGGACGCATGTTTTAACTACTATGGTCTTCGCGCTAGTGCTTGCTGCCTGTCTCTGCTGCCTACGTCCCTCGTGGGGATTTTCAAGCGATCAACCAGAACCCACTCCTCGCTATACGCCAGAACAACTGCGAAATGTTACCTCAGTTCGGGAGCAGATTATGGATCACTTGTTTAAAAATTACCAGAACCACGAACGACCGGGGGCGACTGCGAAAGAGACAACAGAAGTAACAGTTTACATAACGATGACGGCTATAACCTCAGTCGATGTTCGCATGATGGAATACACCGCAGACCTGCTGCTACGTCAAGAGTGGCAAGACCCTCGCCTGGCTTGGATCAACATTCCTAAATTCAAGAATTACACCAAAAACCTCGTCTCGCCGGAACTGAAGCAGAAACTCTGGCTTCCCGATCTGTTCTTTCGCAACGGCAAGGAGGGTAGACTGCACAAAATGACCTGCCCCAATTATCTTACGCGCATAGACCCTAGCGGAATGATTCTTTACAGCCAAAAGCTGACCATGCGTTTCTCCTGCCAAATGGAACTTCAGACTTTCCCAATGGACAGCCAAGAGTGTCTGATGAATATTGGCAGCTATGGCTACGAACTGAGCGAGTTAAAATTCGTCTGGCGCAATCACACTCCAGTAGATCTCACCAAGAAGATGCAGATATCTGAATTCAATAGTCCGGAAGAGGTGATAGCTTACGATTGTAGTCAAGCCTCCACCACATCAACCGGTGAATATACTTGCCTGGAGGCCAAATTTATACTATCTCGTCAGTTGGGATCTTGGCTATCCAGCATCTACATTCCCAACTTTCTAATCATTGTGGCCTCTTGGCACAGCTTTTGGGTCGACCTTGATGCAAAGCCGGCCAGAGTTACTCTTGGGTTGCTGACTCTCTTGAGCATCCTGACCCAGGCATCAGGTGTGTCCTCCAGTTTGCCTCGCGTCTCCTACATAAAGGCCATTGACGTGTGGAACATTGCCTGCATCATCTTCAACGTCAGCGTCCTCATT